TCATGTTCTACCAGACCGAGAAATTATTGTCCCAAAATCTTGCAGACCTTGCGCTATGGTTGTGCCAGATTTCGAACTGATTTGCGAAATTATGTTGGTGGCAGAGGGTTTTCAAGAAGCCAAAGTATTGGCGAGAAAATTCATTACCTTGTACACCCTTTGCAAGGAGCTGCTGTCCAAACAAGATCATTATGACTGGGGCCTTCGAGCTATTAAGTCAGTGCTAGTGGTGGCTGGTTCTCTAAAGGTGCAGCAATTCCTGCATGTTAAAATTCGTTAACTGGAAGTTTGCGTTTCTAGAGGGGCGATCCCGGACGTCCCGAAGAGGAAGTTTTAATGAGAGCATTGCGAGATTTCAATATTCCAAAAATTGTCACCGATGATACTCCCGTTTTTATGGGCTTGATTGGTGATTTATTCCCTGCTCTGGAAGTTCCCCGAAAACGAGATGCAGATTTTGAAAAGACTGTCAAGCAAGCGACCATTGATTTACTGTTGCAGCCTGAAGATAACTTTATTTTAAAAGTACTTTTCGGCAATCTTTTGTTCTCCAATCGAGCAGAAATATTGAGTTTTTTAGGTGGTTCAACTAGAGGAGCTTTTAGAAGTGCGCCATTCTGTTTTTATAGTAGGAAATGCTGGCACGGGCAAGTCTCAAGTCTGGAAAACTTTATTCCGAACTTACATGAACATGAAACGCAAGCCGATTTTCAACGATCTTAACCCGAAAGCAGTGACAAACGATGAACTTTTTGGCATCATCAACCCCTCTACAAGAGAATGGAAAGATGGCCTTCTTTCAGTACTGATGAGAGATCAGGCCAATGTGGGTGGAGAAAATCCCAAGTGGATTATTCTGGATGGAGATATTGATCCGATGTGGATCGAGTCCTTGAATACAGTGATGGATGACAACAAGGTTTTAACGCTGGCCAGCAATGAAAGAATCGCTTTGACTCCAACGATGCGATTGATATTTGAAATTTCAAATCTGCGAACTGCAACACCTGCTACTGTGTCCAGAGCAGGGATTCTGTATATTAATCCACAGGACTTGGGCTGGAATCCGTGAGTAAATTGGATTTATTTTTGTGAATCACGCCCTCCAAGGTTTACTCTTTGTATAGATATGTAACCAGCTGGATAGAGACTAGGGAAAACGGAGCTGAAAAATCGAATTTAATCATGTTATTTGACAAGTACATTCCGATCTGTTTGGAGAACGTTCGAACACGATTTAAAAAAATTACTCCTATACCGGAGATTTCTCATATATCCATGCTGTGTCACTTGCTAGAGAGCGTGTTGACTCCGCAAAATACACCAACTGATTGCCCCAAAGATTGGTACGAGTTGTATTTCGCATTTTGCTGCGTATGGGCTTTCGGATCTTCAATGTTCCAAGAACAGGTAAGAATCAGTCACACGCACAGTTTAAAATAGAACAACTTCATTTCCTTAGGCAACGGATTATAGAATTGAATTTACTAAATGGTGGGTAAATGAGTTCAAAACCGTTAAATTTCCACCTCAAGGAACAGTTTTTGATTATTACATCGACGACGAAACTAAGCAGTTTGTTTCTTGGATCGAAAAAGTCGGGCGGTTTGAATTAGATCCTGATGCGCCCTTGCAGGTTGGTTCCATTTGTGAAATGGGCTGCTTCTCAAGCAAGTAAATTTTAGGCGGTTCTCGTCCATACAGCAGAATCCATCAGAATTAAATATTTCCTGGATCTCTTGATGGAAAAACGACGTCCAGTTATGCTTGTAGGTAATGCCGGGTGTGGAAAAACGGTCTTGGTAACCGAAAAGTTGACATCGCTTTCCGAAAATTTTGCAGTAACCAACATAGCTTTCAACTTTTACACGTCATCGGAAATGCTTCAGAAGATAATGGAGAAACCACTGGAGAAGAAAGCAGGAAGAAACTACGGGCCTCCGGGCAATAAAACGTTGATCTATTTCATTGACGATATGAATATGCCTGAGGTTGATGCGTATGGCACAGTGCAACCGCACACCCTCATAAGACAGCATTTGGACTACAACCACTGGTACGATCGTGGAAGGTTGTCATTAAAAGACATACATAACTGCCAATATGTGTCTTGCATGAACCCGACCGCAGGAAGCTTCACAGTAAATCCAAGACTTCAACGACACTTTTATGTGTTTGCGGTCAATTTCCCGGGACTCGACGCATTGACCAGCATTTACCAAACAATTCTCAGCCAGCATTTGTGCAATTCTGAGTTTAAATTCCCTTCGGTGGTCACAAAACTGTGCGATAATATTGTGGCCGCATCAATCGTTCTGCATCACAAAGTGAGCCAAGTGTTTCTGCCCACAGCCATTAAATTTCACTATATCTTCAATCTAAGAGACATTTCCAATGTCTTTCAGGTACTCAAATTGACTGACAATATACAGGGTTATTCACGCTATACGGCACGGACGTTTGCCGCT